CAGCTTAGGAAATGAACCTGGTAAAATTCCCAATTAATATTTGTTTTAAAAACCAAGCAAAACTTTACAGAGAATAAACCAATCCTCATAGAAAAGGAGAAGGTTCAGATTCACTAAAAATTGATCAGAAGTGGTTTCCATGTCACCTTGGTTTGCCATGCCTTCCCTTCTCAAGGACAGGTGAGGGAGGCTTTAAGCAGCACCATGGGGCTTTCCAGCCTCAGGACCATTCCCATCAATTGCTCTTCCAGGAACCAGAGTAAATAAGATGAAAACCTCAGCCTGTGATGCTTCTGAACAGGCATTCTGTTCCCTTACCCTTATTTAATTGGAACAAATGTACCCATTTAGACCTACATATCTTCCAGATTTCCAGTGTCTCCCGCAATTCACACCAATCTTTTATCACCTGATAAACAATCAGGTTCTTGACCTGCCTAATTCTGCCTGGCTTGTTCCCAGGCTGTCCAGCTCCTGAGCATCCAGCTTGTGCACGTGTTCATTAGCTCCATCCATTTTAGCTGTACGACCTAATGGACCAAAAAACCTGCAGGAATGCTCCCTCCCAGGGCAGCTGTGAGGAAGGAACCTGCAGAATCCCCTTGACACACCTCAACAGGCACAGGGAGCAGTGACAGAGCCCAGCTCACCTCCCTGGATGAGGCTGCTAATTCTGGGCTTTTCTGTTCAGATTTCCCCTTCTCCTTGTGTCGGCTGCTGGGAGGGTTTCAGTTCTCCGCATTTGAAAGAAAAACCAAGTACATGGAAACAGGAACAAACAGAATTAATCCAAAAACACAGATTAAAACCAGCTTCGCAATTGTGGTGTAATGGAGGTGCTTGGGGGCAGCAATAAAGGAGATATTAAGTATACAATGCTGGAGTATAAAATTTCAATAGCTAAATATCAGCTCCTGTTCTCATTCCTTCCAGTTGCCCAAGATACATCTGTGCCCTGTTTCACTTCCACATGCAGAATTATGCATCTCCAGGAAGAATTTCTCCGTGGAAAGGGTGGTGAGACAGTGGAATGGGATGCTCAGGGTGGAGTCACCACCCCTGGAGGTGTCCAAGGAAGGACTGAACTCGGCCCTCAGTGCTCTGGGCTGGGGACAAGGTGGGAATTGGCCACAGGCTGAACTCAATGACCTTGGACCCCAACGATTCTGTGATTTTCTGTATTAAAAAAATACCATGAAAGCAAGCACAGCCAGTGGCATGGACAGAGAATTTGGCTGTTGGTTACCAACAGGGCAGAGCCAAAATCAGCAGCACCCCATTAGAGCTGGGGGGGCTGGAGAAGCTCCTGCCACAATGGACACTGCTGAGGAGATAAAATGCAGCAGTGACAGTGGCAGGGTTCATCTGATCCTCTTCATCCTGATGCCTTTTCTGGGGCTACCTAAAATAGAGGCTAGACAAAATTAAAATAATAAAAAGCAGTTTTATTTATTGAAGGGCCTTCGGGTACATTTTGGGCAGACAAAGTCCCCCAGGGGCTGCACCCAAAATAGATGATAGGTCATGTTTTCATATAAGTTGCATATTGGGGGTTCATCTGCCAATTACAGCTTCAGCTAATGAATTAATTTTACCCCAAGTTTGCTCCCCCAACTCACTTTTTTTTCCATCTCTCAGGGCCTGAGGCAGTGAGGTGTCCTTGATTGCCAGGCCTGGAGAGGAATTGTTGTGTCTGCCCAAAATGGGAAAGCAGCAGCTCACACTGCACATGGAGTTGTGCACTAAAGAACTGCAGGATTACAGATAGATGGAAAATAGAAAAGCTGAAATCCTGAGGCATCAGCCCAAATTCCACCCTGCACCCCCATGGCCGGGCTGCCTCCCTCTGATTTCCCTGATTTCCCACCAGCCTCCCCCTGCTCGCAGGGCCGTGATAAACCAGCAGCAGGCTTAACCTTTTCCAAAGGGCATCCCCCTCATCATGCACCATTTCCAGCACCTCACAGAGCACGTCCCAGAGAACTGGGAGACGAGGCTGTGCGAGCAATAACCTTTGAAAGCCTCCGAGTCTGTCGGGCCCACAAATTACTAAATTAATGGTCGGCCTTACCTTTGGAAAAGGCAAACAGGGGGAACAAGGAATGTGAGCAGTCAGCTCGAAGGGAATGAAAGCCATTTCATGCATCTCTCCTGTCACTGGACTGTTTAATTTCAGCAAAGGATTCACTGAACTCTGATGAAGAGCAGCAGCTGCCTTGGGATTCGTAAGATGGATCTGACACAGGAAAACATGTTTCCTGCTGTAATCCAGATTAATCACCCTGTCCATGCCTCAGGTCCCCTCTGCCACTTGCTGACAAAGACTCCACAGCTCTGTTCTTCTCAACCAGACACAGGAAACTCTTTGGTTTCAAACTAAACTTTATCTGCCCAAATCCAATGCCAGCCCTTCCTGCACCTGATTAATTGTGCTGATCACTTCACCTGGTGCTAATCAGAGCAGTGAAATGTTCCTCATTGTTAAACAGAGTGATTAATTACCAGGACTGCCAGGGAAGTCTGCCACCAGCAGCATAAATTCACAGAGCGTGTTTGGAAGTGTTTGCCAGTGGCAGAGCCTGAGGAGTAAAATATTGCCTCGTTATTTGTCTTCCCCCATCACACGGCAAGAACAGCAGCCACTGGAGAGGGAGCTCAGGCCTTTGTTGATTTAAATTATTGTGAAAGCAGCAGTATAACACCAGGATTTATTTTTATAGATTTGATTCAATGAGAACATGCCAAAAGCTGTCCCCGAGGCCACCGTGAGCTGTGGTGACTCCTCAGGCCCAGCACTGTGTGATGGGCCCTTCCAGCACACTCAGGCTCCAGCACTCCCACTCAGAGCACCCAAATGTGCAAAAAAATTTGAAACTCAAGTAAGGCTCAAAGTCCAACTCAGAGAGCAGCTACAACACAGTCCCCAGTGAGGAAAACCACTGCAAAGCTGATGTTTAAGCCCATTTTTTTTTCTCTGGTTTGGGAATCAAGTAAAGAAATTACTGAGGAAATTATTTTTCCAAATCTGTACCTAACAGAAACATTGCCTTAAATTTGAATTTTGTTGTTTCATTTGAAGTGGCAGATTTGCCTTTGCTCATCCTTGGTTACTTTTTGCATATATATGCACACAACAGGGTAAAATCCTCGTTCCAAGAGCAGACACCCTAAGAGGACGAGGAGGAGGAGGAGGTGTCTGCTGGCAGCTGTTGGAGCATCTGGTCCTTTTTAACCAACGGGTTCCTTCTCATTCCAGGAGATGGTGGATGAAACAACACATGTCTCTGGCTGCTGCCTCTGAACTTCTGCATAAAACCATCAAAGCAGTTTTCTCATCTACACCTGGAACAGGTGTGTGAAACCTTCCAGCCATGCTCCCATCCTGACTCAACCCACAGCATCCCCAGGTGTGACTTTGTCCTTCACAATCCCTCAGGCCTGAGCACAGACTGACAGACAGAGAATCCCAGAATGGGTTGGAAAGGACATTAAAGCCCACCCATTCCACCTCCTGCCGTGGGCAGGGACACTTTCCACTATCCCAGGTTGCTTCAAGTCCTGTCCAGCCTGGCCTTGGACACTTCCAGGGATCCAGGGGCAGCCACAGCTTCTCTGGGATACCTGTGCCAGGACCTCTCCACCCTCACAGGGAAGAATTTCTTCCTAATATTAAATTTTAATATTCAGTTTGAAATTCCTTCCTGCCAGCAGTGTCCACCGTGGCAGTCCTTGGGCACAGCAGTGCAGCTGAGCCCCCACAGCACCAGGGAATCACTAGATGGTATTTCCACAAGGACACTAAAAACCAGTGTCAGGAAAGACTAGCCCTGCCTGTAGGAACAGGCTCACAGTTCCTTAAGAAAAGCTCCATTCCAGCATTCTCCCTGGGGGAACAGTGTCCAGCAAACATGTTTCTGAGCCTGAGTGTGCTCTGAGCAAACAGGCTCTGCCTCGTGCCCAGCTGCCTCTGCCTGCCGAGATGATGCACTGCTGCTGGCACACTTGAGGGAACACTGCTCATCCATCACCTGCCTGTCCCCTCCAGAGCTGTGGTTGGCTAAAAAAGAAAGAGCCAGCAGGCTCTGAGAGCCTTCCTGGGGGAATGACAGGTCCCACAGGCTGGGAGAATCCAGCCAAGGTTGTTTTGCTGCCTGTGTCAGGAAAATTATGGAAGGTGCTGCAGTCTGAGCAGCTGGAGCCCAGCAGAGCTGCCAAGCATCCAGCTAGGAAGCAGTAACGGGTTTATTAAAACCCAGGTGGAAAAGCTGAAGTCCAGAGACCCAGTAAAGATCTTCAGAAACTTCCTGGGACACTGCCAGAAAGGAGCAGCTGGAAGGAGAAGCTGACATGGTGTGAGATGAGCCCTTTGGGAAGCTCTGTGTGCCCGAGGAGGCTGTGCCCGCTGGGCAGAGCTGGTGTGGCTGCTGGACACTGCCCTCCCAGCCAGATCAGCCTAGGGCAGCCCAGCATCCAGCCCTGCATCTGAAAGGGCTGGAATTCACTGGGAAAAGCTTTAGAAAGGAGCTGTCTTGCAGACAACTCGTTTGAGGATTTCAAGAATTCACAGATTAAATGGTTGTGGCTACGAGTGAACACAAAATATTGCTTTGTTCTGCAGTTAGATGGGAATTTGCTTGTACACCAGTGCCAGGAGACTGTGGTAATTAAGTGGTTGTTTGGGCTGGAGCTCACCCAAGCTATGAGCAGGGTTTTTTGGAGAGAACCTGCCCATTTTCCCAAAGCACCATCAGGGTGTGAATAGGCCTTGATTACAGTCATAGAGGAAACCCCAGATCCTTCACAGGCTCCAGAGCTGCCCCACTGGGCTGGGTCCGAGAGGCAGCAGGAACAGATGATGGCCTTGGTCACATCCCCACATCACAGGAGGATCTGGATTATTCAGATGCAGGATGGCAGGACTCCTACTCGTGCCAGAGCGAGAACCATTTAAATGTTGCCATGCTTCAACAGTACAATGCTAAGTTGAAGCCATCTAAGTGTTTTCCAGAAAATTCATTTTTATCTCATCTCAGAAAGCTGAGGAGCAGGGACATGCTACAGGGGCAGGCACAGCAGGAGGGACATCCCCAGCCAGATTTTTAATGGGAAAGCACATCCCTTCCTGCCAGCTGACTGTTCTTCAGAGGCTGAGCTCACCATTTGCACAACACAATTCACGGCTGGACTCGATGATCCTCGAGGTCTTTGGTTCCATGAGGACTTCAGGCTGGGCACTTAGAGTGGGGCTATGCCCTGAGCAAGTGTCCCAGTAAAAAGGAGGGTGGCTTCATAGATTACCAAGCAGCAGTTAATTCAGGTTTGTCCAAATCAGGCTTGTCAAATCTCCTGGGGTCAGAAAAATCAGGATATGTTTTCTGCATCTCTAATCATCAGAATGCTACTCTGGTTGAGCCATGTCTGTTTCAGCAGACTGGGACACCCCTGGTTCATCCCAGGATCCACCAAGTTCCATGTAAGAAGGATCAAAGCTTCCAGAGGTGGTCAGTCCCTCCCATGGGATATGACACAGATGGAACAAGTTTTAAATGACATTTGCATCTTTTTTTCTTTTGCTTGTGACAGCAAAAGGACTTCCTGCTGTCAAAAAGAATTTCAAGTCATTTAAATCCACAGAAGAATTGAGGATTAAAAGGTAGAAGTTGTCAGCCTGGTGTTTTAAGCTCATCCTGCCTCCCCCCTTCAGAACCTCCCATGCAGTGCCTGAAATGCCTCCAGTGATTATGTTTGTAAGCACGGAAGACACAGCAAAAAAAAAAATTGATTACACAGTGATAATAGGAATATGCTAGATGTTTAGGTGTCAAATGAAACATAATTCTGAAGAATATTTTTGCCTTTAGACTAATACATCATCTTCCCAAACCGCCACAAGCTCCCCTGTTATTAATACTCTCCTGAACGACTACAATTGAAATGATAATGCGTTTCTAAATTAATATTGCGTCTTCCCATTTCAGTATCTGATGAGCTGTATCAAAACTTCATTAAATCACTCCCTGTTTTGCCAGCTCCAGCCCATACTCGGGCCCGTGAAGCACATCTGCTCCACACCAGCCCGTGCTCCGAGGCACGCGCCGCCAACGCCAACGTGTGATCAACTGCACTAATGGGACAAATAACAGAGCTAATGAGGTGGCTTCCAGGACATGACAAAAACATTTTAGGCTGCTAAATAAATATCAGATGCAAAATTAGGAGGTGTATCAACAAATGATTTCATGATTAGCTAAGAGTTCTTTTTGGGAAGCTCCATGGTGTTCCCCCAACAATTTCACGTTAGGAGTAATGAAATTGTTCTTGGAGCTTTAGCATTAAGGGGATAATCTGCCCTTTCTTTTAGGGGTACAGAACATTTAAAAACATTTCCAATATTCCAAGGCACTTATTTTTATGCTGACTCCCACTGTCCCTGTCACACCACCCTGCCCCATCATGGAGACAGCCATTCCCATATCCCACCCAGCCACCCTGCTCAAGGCTGCTGCCACCCCAAGCCTCCTGCCACCTCTCCCTGGGGGAAATGCCAGTCCTTACAGCCCAAAAACAGCACCAGGACAGCCTGCCCCACAGCAGCGAGTTCTGCAGCCTCTCAAAATCAGCCAGGTTGGAAAAGACCTCCAAGATCATTGAGTCCAACCTGTGACCGAATCCCACCTCATCAACCAGAAGGAGCTCCCTCAGCCCTGCCCTGGTGGCTCAGGTTTGAGTGGCAAATGAGAACTCAGCTGTGGGATCAAGTGGACATCCTTCAACAGGCAAACCATTAGGTCAGGGTTAATTAATTAGAGAGCAATTTCAATAGTTGTAATAAACCCCAGCACTGCCTCAGCCAGGCTCTGCTCTCCCCTTGTTTTGGTTTGCTGTTAGAAGTGGCTGCAGTTAAGCTCTGTGTGCCAAACCAGGACTAAACCTGGAGTTTAAATTAAACCAGTGCCTGCCAAGAGATGTAGCAAATCCATTTAAATTCTCATTTCAAGGAAGACATTTAATTTCAAGTTTGAAACGTAATTACTTAGAGCCCAGGAGACCTCACCACTTTCAAGTGAAGTGATTGTGATTTCCAACCTCCAGTCCAGGATTCTTGTCACCAAGATAACCACGAGGCATCAGGGACGTAACCAAACTAGTCACTAATCTGAACATTTTTAACACTTCAAGGAAAAGATTGCAGGGTACTCAAACATGACCATCACAAAGCCTTACCTTCTTTTGGCACATCTGGATATTTGGAAACTTTTCTTCATCCAAAGGGCTGTCCAGCCCTGGCACAGCTGCCCAGGGCAGTGATGGAGTTCCCATCCCTGGGGGGAATTAAAATCCATGTGGATGTGGTGTTGCTATTGGACACAAAGAGAGTACACAGATGTTTGGTAAGTTCAAAAGAGAAAAAAGAAAAAGTTTATTCGAACATCTGGTATTTATAGAATTCCAGAGGTGACCATGGATTGGAAGATGGAATTACTACCTCTCTAACCACACTGGTCAAATTAACAGTCCATCATTTCCCTCCTCCCACAAAGAAGAATGCAAAACAATCATTATTTACATGAACAGTGTGTGAGAACTCCAGTAGAAATATATAAACAGATCAGAAGGCTGAAGAAGTTTTATGAGAACTTTAAAACTTTCACAAGAACTATAAAAGAAAACATAACACTTTTAAAAATCAGGGCAACAATGTGGCACTTGGGAACATGGATCAATTGGCCTTGGCAGTGCTGGGGGAACAGTTGGACTCAATGGCCTTAGAGGGTTTCTCCAACCCTGTGATTCTGTAAGATTTTACATACCCTTTCAGAAAGAACTCTCAAGGCTAAGTTTTCTTTTAGAGACTCTTCCCCCATGTCAGTGTTTCCCCTCTGCCCCAGGGGGGCATGCAGGGGAACGTGCAGCCTGGTTGATCCGGGCTCAAGGTCCCAGCAGCTCCAAGCAGAAAAAGCCATAAATCAATTTGTAGTAAGGACTAAAAATCGATTTTCCTAAAGTTGCTGTGTAGTGCAAGTTCAAGTGATGGGACTGAGACTCTGCAAAAAATAGATCATCTGGTAATTTGCATTAATGAGGTTTAACATTAAGTGTTTGTCAGAGAGTGATTAAGAAACTGTGCACCAGACTCCCCGTCCCCACCTCCAGCAGCAACACAGACGTGTTATTGGGGTGCTCAAAGGCAGCAGAGCACCCACACTGCAGCCACACAGTAATTCCAGGCTGGTGCAATTGTGCCTTTCAAAATCCCACCCAAAGAGCCCCAGCCATCAGTTTTCCATCCAAAATCCCTGCTAAGCAGACATGGCCTTCGATTTTCCATTCAAAATCTCTGGTCCCAAAGAGCCGTGGCCAGTGCTTTCCCATGCAACAGCACAAAGCTAAAGCCATTCCTTTCAGTAAACAGGCTGTGGCAACTTCCATAGGCTTGCTGGAGAATGCTGTGCTGAATGTTTTCCTTTTGACAGTTTTCTTATTGCTCAGCTTCTCAGGGCTGGCAACAAACACTGCTTTTTATTTTCTGGGCTGGAATTGTGCTGCTAAAACCCGAAACACCAGAATTTGCCTTCAAAAGAAATGAGACATTTCACTTGCCCCTTATTAAGCTGTTGAACTGTGATTTTCCCTTTTTTAAATTGAAAGGACAAAAAGAAGAATTATTAAAATACGTGAAAGCATCGAGCAAAATGCACAATGAGGAAATCTTCAGCAACGTGTGGCTGCAGCAATGTTACATAAAGAGGTTTAATGGGCTCTGTGGGAACAACATCAGAACGTCAGCAATTCCACTGTAGTGTATTTCAGCTCAGTTCCTCATTAAATGGGTTTCTCTGGGACTTTAACTTATTTTGGAAGTTATTATGAATTGTAGCCCTATGTTCTTTGGGTTTTTTCCTCTCCATTTCATACACAGTCCGTGACTGCGGGGTCAGGGATTGTGGTGGGTGATGAGACCTACCAGTGCAGATGTCAGACAGTGTCAGAGCATCACCCCAAGAAGTTCCAGGATCGTTGGTTTTTAAGCATTTTTAAGTGTTGCTCACATTTTGGCTGAAGAACCCCAGAGAGCTCCAGCATTTTTTATACTGAGCAATCTAATGTTCAGCAACAGATACCAGTTCAGAACCACTAGATGCTCTGGAGAGTGGAGATAAACAACTTGGAAAACAACTGGAAAGATATTAAGCAGAACTGTATTTTTTTTAACATTAATTTTTAAATGCCATGAAAATTAAAAGGGAAATTTCAGTACTATCACAATATACACATTTCTGAAATGAGAAATCTTGTTATAAAAATGCCAAAATTACACATTAAAAATAATTTGTATTATTTTTAACAAAAATAAAATAAAAAAAAAGCAAAAGAGTTCAACCTTTAAGGCAGTCCACACTTTCAAGATCAACTTTTAGCCAAATTCAACTTGGTTTTGCTTTTGCCTGGAAAGTTAGCCTGATATTAACTGAAGACAAAATGTATTGCTGAGCTCTGAACAGAGATTAGAAGATCCATTTTCCTCTTTTCTCCTATGAATAACAGTGATTTTACTGCTTTGGAGCACGTAACATCTGCTGAGATGACAAAGTTTTCACTTGGATAAAAATCTAAATTTAATCCTCGCCCTGAGCATTTCCCTTCAGCTCTGTGGGTCACACGTGGGGGAAGCAGAACCAGCAGAGCTCCTGGAGCACCAGTGCCCAGCCTGTCCTGGTGTGCCAGTCACATTCCCTGGGCAGACAGACAGAATTCTGTCCCTCAGGAGAAGCACAGGGAGAAGAAGAGAAAACAATCTTTATCTCTGCTCCTTTGTTCTCCCCATGTGCAATGTGGTGTGGAGATTGTTCACCTGCAGTGGTGGCTGGGTTGGATTCTGGTGAAGGTTGTTTGGGGTCAGTGACCAATGGATCCAGCTGGGTTGGACTCTCAGCAGAGTCACAGTTTGAGTTAGATGGGTAAGTAAGCAGTAAGTGTGTAGAATAGCATAGCATCTCTTTAAATAGTATATTAATGTAATATAGTATAGTTTTAATAAAGCTATCCTTCAGCCTTCTGATCTGGAGCAGACATCATCATTTCTTCCCTGGCTCCACGTTCACTGCATTTTACCATATCCTGGAGCACTGTTCCACAGTTCTTTGCTCACACAGACCAGCTGCAACTGAACAAAGGAATTCTGAGTGCAAAAATTAACCATTCCAGGGCTGTCAGGAGCACAACCAAGGACAAGGGACAGAGGAACATGAAGCCAGAAAATTCATAACCTCCCTGAGGTTCAGCTGTCAGCAGCCCCACCGAGGCTGGGATTTGAGGACAAGTGGGTGGCAATTTTTTTCCCCAAGATATTATTGTTTTTACACATCCAGAATAATCCCCCCCAGCTGCACAGAGTCTGCTCAGGGGGCTAGCCTGCATTTGCATGGAAATGTGACTGAGTTGAGCTGCTGCTGTGCTCTGCAGAGCCCAGCTCTGCTCCTGCTTGTCCCAGGGCTGCTCCTCAGGGACCCCTCACCTGCCTGCCCAGGGACACCGGGGTTTAGAGGCAGGGGAGGAGCAGGGCACCCTCCAGCAGGGGCTGCCTGCCCTCCTTCTCCATCTTGTGGCACCTCTGAGCAACCAAAAGATTCCTTGTGAAGTTCCATGCAGGGCCATGCCTGTGACATCAGAGTGGGGTGTGGGCAGGAATTCCAAATTAAGTTCATGAGCAGTAGAACTACAGGAATTTTAAAAGATCACAAGAATGGCAATACTCACATAGAGCAAAATATTCTGAAAATATGGGCAGACCTCAGGGGGCTCAGCCTGGAGAAAAGGAGGCTCAGGGGGGACCTTCTGGCTCTGCACAGCTCCTGACAGGAGGTGACAGCCAGGGGGATGAGCTCTGATGGCAGGGAAAAGGGACAGGATATGAGCAAATGGCCTCAAGCTGCACCACTGGAACTTCAGGTTGGATATCTGGGAAAATTTCTTCACCTAAATGATTGTTAAGCCCAGGGCAGGGGTGGAGTCCCCATCCCTGGAAGGACTTAAAATGTGTGGTTGTGGCAATAGGGGACGTGTGTTAGTGGTGGCCTTGGCAGTGCAGAGGGAATGGTTGGACTCAATCTTGGATGGTTTTTCCAACCAAAGAACCTTCTAGCAGATCTGCATGGCAGAGAGGAGCAGCCTGAGCCAGAGCTGCTCCTCTGAGCTTTCCTGGGCAGCCAGCTGGAAGGTGCTGCTCTAGCAGCCACAAGCAATGGCCCAGAAGACAGCAATCCCAGTTTTTCCCTGGAATCAGAGCTCCAGCAGAGTCCCACCCTGAGCTGCAGCACTCCCAGCCAGGAGCACTGGCCAGCACTGCTGCAGCAGGGCCTGTGGAGCTGCACAGCCAGGCTTTGTTCAGTGGTTCCTTATTCCAAAGTGCTGAATAATTCAGCGCACAGGATTAACGGCATATGCCACTGAAACGTTCCATATGGAGCACAGATCCAGCGGGAGCTGCTCTCTCCAAAGGCAGCAGCACTCCCCATGCACTCAGCCTGAGCTCCTCTGTCACAGCCCACACACCCTGGGCTCTCTGGGGTCCTTTGCCACCCCAGGGTCTGTTGGATTCCAAAATGCAGGGAACTCCCAGAACTTTGGGTCTGTAAGCCAAAGCTCAGGATTAAACCCAGGATTTGAGCTGAGACCTTGGAAAAGGCTTCCAAACTTAGTTGCTAGAAGCGAGAATGTGGATTTATAGTTTAAAGCAGAGACAAGTTAAGCTTAGTAAAGTTTAGAGTTTTAGAGTTTAAGATATAGAAACGACAGAAGTAGTTACAGAGGTAAACAAGGAGTTTAGAATGCAGCACTGTAAGCTTGTGTGTTATAACATGATTGGTAAGAAAGCTTACACTGTAGCATGGACCCATAAGACAGAATATTTCAGGACTGAGTCAAAAGCATAAATATCACAGAATCACAGAATTCACAGAATCCCTGAGTTGGAAGAGACCTTCAAGATCATCAAGTCCAACCCAGCCTCAACACCTCAACTCAACTCTGGCACCCAGTGTCACATCCAGGCTTTGTTAAACACATCCAGGGATGGTGACTCCACCACCTCCTGGGCAGAGCATTCGAGAACTTTATCACTCGTTCTGTGAGAAATCCTTGTTATCCTTGTTAGCAGTGTTTTATTGGTCAATAACTCCTTAAAAGGTCATGTAACTGAGGGTCTTGTGACATTCTGAACCATGCAGTAACGATGTGAGCCGAACTCACTCATCATCAAAAACAATTTAGAGGTCCCTCTCAAATTCCTTCCACAATTCCCCACAAATAAATTATCTCAGGGTGGAGCGACAGGGCAGGCTCTAGAAACATGGGAATGCAAAGGGATGGAGGGAAAGAAGTCTCCTCTCCCACCTCCTGCCCAAAACACCAGAGGGACACGTGCAGCCAGCAAAGCTCCAGCCTCAGCACCCTGGAGCTCTGGCCAGGGCAGCACCACATCCTTGCACAAGACACACTCAGACAAATTCATCTCCTCATGACTTTAAGTTTCCTGCAGCCTTTTTGTGGAGGCGATTTTATTCTCTTCACTCCCTTCTGCAGACAGATTCCTGCCCACCAGCCAGAAAAGTTGTATGAGCAGAGGCAGCTCTGGCCACGCTGTTCTCACAGCTGTCCAAAGGCAGCCACACATCAGTGACACACTCACGAACCACAGCCCAAAAATGTCTGCGTGGGCAGCTCCTGTGAGAATCTGAGCATTGCATCAGCCCTTCCTTGTCCTGGAGGAATTTTTGCCATCAGTGGAGAGGAAAAGGCTGGCTCCTGGAACACACAGCCCGTGCTCCTGCATGCTGAGCAACCAGGGCTGCAGTGACCTATCAACTCAGACAGAACCAGTCCTGGCATCCTCCCATATTTCAATCAATAACAAAACAGAAGGTGATACCCAATCCAGAAGATAAAAATCTCACTAAATTAAATTAACTTGTACAGTGTAATCAACATTCATTAAGCCAATTTAGTCAAGCAATGACCTCAGCAGCTTTCACTTAATCATATCTTTAAATGTCAAATCCACATGCAGATCTTGTAGAAGTCCTTTCCAATTAGATCTTATTAAAACCTTGGAATAAATGAATGTAGCTGGAGTGGTCTGTGTGCAGTGAGCACAAACACAGCTGTGAGGGGCAGTGCCACACCCCCACCTGCACAGTGTGATTACAGGTACCCTTGTAGCCAGCTCACAGACACAAAAGGCTCATTCCTCCCTCTGGAATCACACAGAAGTGGTTGCAAGGATTCTCCACGACCTGCTGCCTGGTTGCCTCCATAACTTTTCCATGGTCACACGCCTTGTCACTGTGGTCAGTACTGCACCATCCTGTTTCCTTCCGCATTTACTGCCACCCCACCTGAGAATCTCACCCAGAGGGTTGTGAAAACCCCTCATAGATGCAGAATTTCTATCTAATTTATTCTCTGTGTAAGAATCATGCTTTTCAGCTGCAGGGAGCCCAGTGCAGCTGGGGATTCCTGCAGGGTTCCCTCTGCACGGAGCAATTCCAAAGGGGCACACTGGCAATTCCTGAGGCTCTGCCAGTGCCTCAGGACAGCCACCCTCCTGCAAGGCACATGGCAGCACAGAGAGCACAAAACAGCCACTTTATTCTTCCTGACCCTTTATTTCAGGTGGTTGCAGGACCACACAGGCTGGCAGGTAAACACTGGAGCTGTCTTGATGGTGTCACACCAGAGAGCAGCAGCACCACAGCTGAGATGGGCTTGGCCTGAGCCCGGCTGTTGGACACTGAACCCCCCTGACCCCCACCTGTACCACACCTGGAGAAACCTGGCAAAGGGCACAGGGGCCCAGGAAGGCTAAGAGAGAGAGAACATTTGAAAGAAGAAAACCAAAATGGTGGAAATCCAGAAAGCCCAGGGGTTTTTAGGAAGGTGAGCAGAAATTCACTGATGTCACAAGCCCTTTCCACTCTCTTCTGCCCCATTGTGCCAGTCCTGGTGCCAAATCCATCTGGCTGTGAGGCCTCAGGATTTCAGCTTTTCTATTTTCCATCTATCTGTAATCCTGCAGTTCTTTAGTGCATAACTCCAAACTCCATGTGCAGTGTGAGCTGTTGCTTTCCCATTTTGGGCAGACACAGCAATTCCTCTCCAGGCCTGGCAATCAAGGACACCTCACTGCCTCAGGCCCTGAGAGATGGAAACAAAAGTGAGTTGGGGGAGCAAACTTGGGGGAAAAGTCTTCATTAGCTGAAGCTGTACTTGGAAGATGAACCCCCAATATGCAAATGGCCCAAACTTACAAAAGTGCAAAAATCTGTGACCCATCATCCATTTTGCGTGTAGCCCCTTGTGGGTTTTGTCTGCCCAAAATGCACCTGAAACTCCTTCAGTAAATAGAACTGGTTTTTATACCCTTAATTTTGTCTGCCCTCTGTTTTTTAAGGTAGCCAGAAAAGGCATCAGCTGTCCCCAGTGGAGCAGCAGGACAGGGCTGGCAGTGGGGACACACCAACACATGGGCTGGCACTGCACCAGGACACCCAGGGTAGCATCAGGGCAATGTCACACCTCCTCCTTGCACCACAGCTCACAGCCCTGGCACACCTGGCACCTTTCCTGCTTCCTGGGAAGCAGGGGCAGGGCTGTGGAAGCGCCAGGGATCCAGAATGAATTGCTCTACCAGTGCCAAGCAGCCTCAGCAGATGTTCCTGGTGTCAGCAGCATGCTCCAGACCCCCATTTTTATTCCTGGAATGAGCACTGGGAACACATCCTTGCAGTTTCACCTTCTTGCAACCTCACACATCTTCAAGAATAAATTCCCTGGCCTTGCCGCTGCAGAAAAGTACCAGTAATGCTATGGCTAATTTTATTTGTGGAGCACTCCCTCAAACACAGCAAGCAGATGAAAAAGCCAAACGAGGATAGTGGGTCAGCAGGTGAGATGTGCTCTGTATCAGAACTCTCTGCGCTTAATTTATCAGATTTCTCATAAAAATCTCCCTCACCTGGGGAGTAAATCTGCTTTAATGTATCACACCTATTGCTAACTCACAGAACTGAAAATCTCATTTCATGGGCCCCAGGTTTACCCGATTACAATTCCACTGTGAAGAGTTTCTTAAAGCAATACAAGCTGATAATGAAATACTTGCTGGTAGAGCAGCATTCCTGTACCTGCCCCTGGCCGTGGGAAGGGGATAACCCCCATGGGGCTGCCTGGCTGGGAAGGGGCACACGGGCAGGCACAGCCACCCTCCTGCAGCTCAGGCTGGGGAGATTTCCACTGGTGTGCTTATCTAAAGGGAAAAGCATTTCCTTCCACGATAGCTCTGAATTTATGATCAAGTCGAGATGTCAAGATTGCTGAGACACCCTTTTAAGGCAGCTGTAAATTGTTTAGACAATAAGAAATGACAGCTTCTGCTCGAGCTTGCAGGGGGAATCCAGGCTGGAGTGCAGATTTATGACTTTGCAGGTAGGAGACCACTGAATGCATATTCTTCACGGGGAAGTGAGCATCTCCAAGCCACACATTTGGTTGTTCTTTGTACTCATACTTCAATTTGCTTAAAAGCAGGAATTTAGGTGCCTTCT